TACCCGATAATAATTAAGTCTTGCTGACCTCTCTGAATTTACTTTCGCTTGCAATCGGCACTTCCGTGATTATCACTTTTCTGAGTAAGCTAATATTGTGGTGCGCTTTTGTGTTCGCCGATAATTGTGCTCTAGCTATCACAAAAATATTAGAAATTCAATTATTACAGGAGGTAAAATGGTGTCAAGAGAGTTCACGCCATGTCTATTAGATTTTATAGTTTGAAAACTACAATTATCGTGCTTTCCAAAATGCTCTATTACAAATTCCTTAAGCTTCAAATCAAATGTAAGCTTACGAAATATCTCAAACACATTTTTGCATGCGAGTTCAACCCTGTAGCACACAAAATCTTTCCAGAAGGTTCACAATGCTACTTAGTGTCACTCAGCGCGACGACCCTTACGTCTATTTATATTATACATTCCATTGCTTCTCTGGGTACTTGTTCGCAGGATAAACTTTCTTAAAGATACGGGCGCGGGTGGCAATGCAGTTCAATTATTGCGTGGAGGAGATCGCTTCTCAAACCAAGTAGTGCGCTTTGTGGACTTGATTACAGTCTTGATGTGCTATTGGGTATAGTGTTTTGGTTACCTAAAAGGTGAGCAATCACTGAGTGTTTCCTTTATTCTACTGTACTGCATGGATTGATAACCATAATACTTTTATATTCATGATCATGAATGTCTTAAGCCATATTTATAAAGTTGCTATACGTTTTACCTTCATAACTTAACTTATGGCTTACGACTTGTTATTGAATATCCGCAGGTGGGACGCCTCCAGGTTCTGGGAGTTGTTATGGGACTTTCGGAGCCTGTTTGCTGGGTTGAGGTAGTTATGTTACTCAATGCTCGGTTTCCTCTACCAGGGGAAACGTCGGAGCGCTTTGTATGTTGACACGGTGGCCTTTGGCCGAAGTGGCGTCCTTGGTCTGAATGACCGCTTAACTATCTTCTCTTGGCAATCGCTGGAGTCTGAATGTATCTCATGGCAGGATGTGTTAAGGGATTGTTACTTTAATGATAGTCATATTGCTCGGTTACCTCTGATTCAGGGGTAACGTCGGAGCTTTGGGGTATTGACACAACGGCCCTTGGCCAGCGTGATATCCCGGTTCCTGGACTGTCTTTTTGTAACAATCGTTAAACTCAGCACGTCACCATACACCTAGCGACCAAAGAGTTAGAGTTAGTCTGTGTGACAACTCCGACTTAGTCTGTGTGACGACTCCTAGTCAGTCTGTGTGACGACTAAGGCCCGTATCATCAGTCGTCCCTACAATTATTGTAGGGCACGCTTATGGCCTCCTTGATTGTCATACTCGTTTCTCTCCTTCAAAAATTTCTAGATTACACTTGTCCCGTGTCAGCGTCAGCGCTCTCCTATTGTGAAGATATGTTTTCGTTTTAAATTGTAGGAAATTTCAGGCTGATAAAACATGATATAACTCAAAAGCAAGCACAATTTGATGCAAATTGATGTTTGTGACATAACCTCAAAATAGAGTTCTGACACGGAGTAGTAGAAAACTATGACAATCAAGGAGGCCATAAAGGTGCCCTACAATTGTAGGGACGACTGACGATACGGGCCTTAATGATCAGTCTGTGTGACGGTCAGGATTAGTCTGTGTGACGATCCCGTTATTCAGTCGATGACGAATCCGTAATAGGAGTTGGGGTACATTAATGTAATGGTAAATAGTAGATTTGTGCATGGGATGTCATGTGTCAAGTTGAATACGGGAGATACTCATAAGTCTTTTTATAAAAATAGGTGTTGGCCCCGACAATCCGATCATATCGCCCTTATCGCTTGCCAAAGGAGGATAACTCGTTGTCGTTTCGTCACCAACTAAGTGACTGTAATATTACCCTGACATTGTTGCCCATATCGAATTGTTTACGTACTGCCTATGTAGTAAAAATGAAATGGTACGGGGCGGTACTTCGAAATCTGTTAAGATGAGATGTTTTCACGTTTATCGTTATATTGCTATTATCATATCTCTTTCGCATCGTACACAAATGGTGAAGTTGTCACAGTAGCAACAGTTATCAAATAGGAAGAAGCATTGCAAAGCGTAGATACCAAAATATTACTGAATACAAGTTTGGGAATCTACAATTCTTTTGATACCTTTCAGGAATTTTCTCCAAGAAATTAATGCACCATAAATGAACTAAGATTAAAGCATATTTTTAATGGAACTAAGGAACTAATTCGTATGATTTTTTAGTGCCAGGCAGCTTCTGGTCTTATTCAGTAAAGGAAACCTCTACTCATACGTAAGGATAATTCGGCTATAGTTCTCCCAAATCTGAGTTGCTCCCGCTATGACACCTAGCAGTTTTAACTGGTTTCTTATATTTTCTCAAAGATTCAGAAACCTATAAGATGTTCAGAGTTCCTGAAGGGTATGACATCGGAGAGGGTAGGTATTTTTTCGTTTGAGCAGCTGGGGCCTTGTGTTGTTTATATCAACAAAAATAAACATTGAAGAGATTCGGTTTATCCGTTTAAATGTCTTACAAATGTGCTTTTCTGTAATAGGAAGGAATGAAAAGTAAATCAAAAACAAATATTCAAACAATGTAATATCAAAATGTAGTTAAAAATTTTAACCTAAGATTGTAGTTACTAAATTCCATGTTGACGAACATATACCAGGTGTGTCAAATTCGAGCATGACCATTGAGATCTCACAAACTGTATTTTGGTAGTCAACAAAACACCACTTGGAAAGTTTCTAAATTCAAAGTACTCCCGAAGAGAGACGACAAAAACCGAATTTTCTCAAAATCGTTTTGATTTTTTCCTGTCTTCATTTGTAGTGGAATTCCAAAATAATTTGCATACTAACGCAGCCACTTTTTGTCCTCTACAAGATGACATAATTACAATTCCAGTATGACGATTCGTCTCTTGTGCACCAGCATCGACTTTGTTTTTTCTCATGGATATCATATTGAATTTTTGCACAGATGAATAGAGCCTTTAATTCTCATTCTAAAAATGTATAATACGTCATACATTGACATTGTCAAGCCCTAGTTATTTAAAAAAAAAACAGAATATCCTAGGTAGGTCCTGAAATCATCAGATTGACAATTGTTTCGCATGCTATACCAAAGTAACTTTTATTTTTCCTGACTTTATTTGAAATGAGATTTCAAAATAAATTGCATGTTGTCATGGTTACTTATTCTCCTCTACTCTACAATACGGCGTACTCAAATTTTAAACTCGACATTATTTCTTTCGACTTCACCAACTTTGTTTTTTCATATAGTCGCTATATTGGAATTTTGTACATATGAATGAGCTTTTCAGTCCCAAATTCAGTGATGTATTTCCTTTATTGGGCATGAATTTGCTGTTGGGTGAAGACTATAAAGAAATAAAAAAGTATGGTGAAATCTGAACACAACATGAAAATTTCGTTGATGGTAATAACAATAACAATCATAAATAAGCAGAGATAAATCATAGCAGATGTTCAAAATGTCCGTTTTTCTCAGTGTTCCAAACCCTGTTGCTATGCTTAATTTGAAGTCCGGCCTGGAATACAAAGCAAATGAAATCTGATAATTTCAAGGCCTACCTAGAAAATTCTGCTTTCTGGAATAATTTTTGAAAATGTCAATGTATGACATGTATAGGTACATTTTTGGAATCAGAATTATAATTCAAAGATCTATTCGTATGCGTAAAAATCTAATATGGCGTCTATAAGGAAAAATAAATTTTATGATGGAGGACAAGAGCCAAAACAAAGAAGAACTTCGAACCCAATCCTACGTCTTTTCGTGATTTCGACGACTACTCTGCTTATTGCTGTGACACCAAAACAGGCAGTTTTTGCTCAATAAAATTAGTCAAGGTTCATCTCAAAAACATCATCCGTTCGTCTCGGGTGCCAAGCAGCGTATATTCTTGTTTCGCTTCGACCACACACATAACCACATACCAAACTTATGGCTTTTGATAGCACTTATTGTCACTCGACGAATCTTTGATACTTAAACCGAAAAGTACAACAGCCCTGTGAATACGCTCGTCAATAACAACAACAAGTTAAGGAAAAACAAACAAAACTCTAAAGAATCTTCGTTCAACAAGAGTGGAGGCTCTGTGGTCATAAATTCGATCGTTAAAGATGGACGCCTCCAAGTTGAACCAGACAAATAAACAACATGCCATGTGCACCACAAAACAACATAAATCTGATTGTGAGTAAAGTTCTTTCAATGAAAAATGACGAATGGCATAACTGTCAGTCAACATGCACTGAACACAACTCTTATTGGTAGTGTGCATCACGTGTTTTGTGGCGAATAATTTAAATTACATAAGTTAACATCACAATACAACATGCATAATGATTGAACTCGGCTGTTTCGTTCACGTTTACACCCTCCTCCCTGAATATGGAATATGAGACCACCACTGCGCTCCTTTCAAACGAGTTAGTCCACAAAATACCGCTGTGTACAATAATTTTGATTCAAACTAGAAATTTTCCATCTTAACTAGTCAGCCAAGATGACCCTCCTCCTGTCAATAATTTCGACACGCGTGTACCTTTTCTCAGGAAGAATCTGGCAACGCTTCAAGACGGTCATCCATCACACGGCACGGCTTTTTGTAAGACCATAAGACGTGAAAAAAACTAAAAAATTTCATCTTGCAGACTAGGTAGTTTTTTTTCAGGTTGCAAATAGTTTTTGTAAGTTGCAGAAAACGAGTATATGTTTTGTGAAGCCGAGTACTCTATAGTTTTTATCTATGAGAATGAATAAGAAAAAGTGGATGCGCAACTAATTTCTAACTTCGAATCTCAGGTAAGAGTATTTGAGACAAGAAACCAATGGAGTTATCATCAACACAGTCTATTAGCACGCACATCCTCACTATGCACTTATGCACTGCCGTTTCCTTTCAGCTATTTTTTTTTATACTCCAACTACCACGAAGGCCTAAACATCCATGGGGTACCGTGGGGCTATAGTGGGATACCGGAGAGAGAGGGAACACCATACGGACTCTGGAGAGGGAACACGTGTGCATGCAACTTGCACACATTCTGGCTCCGCCTACGAGATCCGCCGGGTGGTACCTCCGCGTTCGACAGTCAGAGACCGTCTACCACCTACGGACAATCACAACATCCGTAGCCAAGAGAAATATTTCTCTTGGAACGGATTCGAATCCGCACAGCGCACGGCGACTGATCAGGAGACCAAAGAGTCTACTACTGCGTCCACCGCTGCTGCCTGAATACTTTAGTCTAAAGTATACAACTTACAGCTTAGACCTCCAATAATGCCATCTCTGAAGCAAAAGTTACATCCCATCAGAGCCAAACATTGATGGTAGAAGCATCATGTCCCTTAGCTAGTATTAAGTTAATATCTTGTAGAGAAACCTACGTTATGTCAAAAAAAAACATCGATGCAGGTACGTACGTATACGCGTGTGTTGAGAATATTTCATTCATTTTGAGGCGAAATGTACGGGGAAATCAATGCTAAGTGTAATCCATCTAATAGACGGACCAAGGATTACCGGACAGGCCGACCGACAGACAGACAGACCCGACGGAAATTAGAGACCTAAAGTGTATCTAACGAAGCTACAAAGTAATCGTAAACAGTGGTTGATTCGTGATCAACGCGTGATCGGTAGCCATGGCGCTCTGTCAAGGTGGTCAAAGCTGAGCTGATAAATATAGTCAAGCGACATAAGTATAAATATGATTTAAAAATTGTTGACGAAATGGCCAAAAACCAAAATAAAACGATTCTCAGGCTGCCTCCCTATCACTGCGAACTGAATCCTATCGAGTTGATTTGGGCCGACATCAAGCAATACGTGGCGTCAAATAACAGCACTTTTAAGTTTTCTGACCTTAAAAAATATGATTAGAAAGGCGTGGTATATTCCTGATAATTTACTATGCTTTTGATAGAATTTACAGCAACACATATCTTGTACGACATTTTTTGATAGATCAGTCACAATAGCTTGATACGGCCCTGTAGCGTCTCCTACGGTTAAGTTCTTGATCACGTGCAATACGGGTGTATATGTTTGATTTTACTTTGTTTCTTCGATGGATACAGTTTAGTTTTTTGTCATATACGTCATACGATATAACGTCTAAAAAATATATCAGATTTTCGAAATTTTCCATGACTACAATATGTATTTCCTCGAATAGGCATGGAAAGTAAAATTTAATGAAACTTTGAGGTTGAAAGAAGAGTCAAACAGGTCTTGAAATAAGTATATCTAATTATGTCTCCACGCGCTACACTCAGTATTTTGATTGGTAGATGAAGCATTGCAAGATTGATAGATTTCAACTTCGACTGATGATACCCACCAGATCGTAGATAAGCTTACTGGCAGTAATATCCGGCTGGGCTCTGGGGTGCGAAACCAAGATATTAGAAAGCCACACATTATTTTAGGTGGGTAAATAGAGTACTATCAAAATAACGCAACTGGAACTGGAATATGCTCATGCAACGCATATTTTTGCCTATGTTGGATCAGTGCCAAGAGTGAGAGAGTGATACTTGCAGAGCCTCAAGTTTCTTCTGCATCTCCCCATTTGTATATGTCGTCAGGTGGATTCGTCAGTGGATCTCTTTTGGCACCACTTTGTCCAATCACTTATAACGCTCCAAATATAGTCTATCTAATATTTTTTTCCTGCAATGTACTAAGATTGTTACAGGGGTTTTCTACTCAAAAAACGTTCACGTTGATTCCTGGGATACTTGCATGTCAACAATAAAAGCGACTAGTATGCGTCCCAGCTTACATCATGCTGCTTAGCATGTCACCTCCATGTGTAGCCTAAATATATTCGATTCTGCGATATTTATTGCTGGGACTGCTGAAGGGATTTTTGTATAGCGGTTATAGACAACAAAATAGGCCGAATTTTCAAATACTAACGAAAAAGAAGCTGATAGTATAACTTATTGAATACTTTACGAAGTTTCATTGAAGACCACTCAAGAGTAGCACTCCATCTTCTAACATCATATTTCTACGTGAACACATAGGTACGCTGGACAACAGAAACAAACAGTTGAGAGGGCACTCGATGGAGTTGATATTCCCATTATTGACGGGCATCGTCCAAGTATGTAGTCCTTAATTTGATGTATATGAGAATTACGTAGATTCTTCCATGAACCAGACTCAGTCAGTACCAACTATGCCTTAAAATGTTCTCAGTTATAATAATGCACACTTCTATACGAGTGAGCATGTTATTACTTATACAAAGTGTCCTACGCAGGACTTCAGCGAGAGATTACTTGAAAAGATAGCTTTATATAATAACGAACACTACTAAAATTATTTCAATTCAATTTTTGAAATACCGATTCTAAGCATATTTTATGTATGACATGCCATACCTAGCTCAAATCGTTTTTGAGAAATGGCAAATTTTGTGTAAGAAGTCACATATGCAAGTTCATAAAAGCTTATGAATTATTCATATAATATTGCCTTATATTGTTCATTGACTGTCAGAGCGGTACGTACATAGGACCTTTGCTCTAGGTTAGTAATATCGTCTTTGTGGACGAATCGTATCTGCTTGCTTATAGAAGAAGTTCCACTTTAGTACACCTCATTCGATGTTTTGATAATAATTGATATCGACTGGTCAAAAATCTCAATTGCAAAAAATGCCAAAAGTCAATTTTCTCATAATATCATCTTAAGCAATAAAAATGAGAATAGCAATTCAGTAGTTTAGGAAATATTTGCAAATACTCGTCTTCTATCCCTCCATACGGCTTATGTTTATGGTCACATCAGCATGACATTCAAAATGTGTTGCATCTATTGAACATAAAAAAATTGAAAAAAAACAGAGAAACCGATGTATCATTTCGTGGTCTTCTCATTTTTTTTCAAACACGTGTAGACATATAAGGTTAGAATAATAGCTCCAGTTCTGAATACGTACCTACGTTACCAATGGCGTATTGTGCTAGCTGTTGTCAGAAAAAACTGTATAACTATATAAATATGATTAATTATTTGCTTATTACTAGTGAAAAAAGTCTCACTGGGAACACATATCTACATTATTTACAATGTCTCACAACTCCGACAACAAAAACGTATAGAGGGTTGGAAAACGAGTATTTTCAAATATTACTTAAGCTACTAATTTGCGAAGCAAATAATTTGTACAAAACGACCTTTATTTCTATTGCTTAAGGTGATAAAGGCAGGGGGGGGGACTTTTTTAAATTTAATCTCAAATAGCCAAATATCAAAATTTCTAATCAAGTGTTCCAAAGTAGACCCCTTTCTTTCAGACTCTTGTGTAGACTCCAAAAGTTGAATAACAGACAGCCACTATTTAAAATCGGATCTTTTGAAAATATTTCAGCCGAACTCCTCCTCAATCAGTTATACCATAGCTCCAAGTTTTTTTATAATTGTTTGATGAGTACATCGCTGGAGTTCTACGTGGGCCATCCTGTATTTCGCGTGTTGGCGTTGCCCGTCCAACAGCCGATTCTGCGTTATGCCTAGCCTTGCAAAAAGGCGATTTTCTTATACCGTCGAAAGTTGCTGACTGCATTTTGCATGAGAACAAGTGTGATCTGTTCAGCAGCCGGAAATACCGATGGGAGATATAACCCGATCACATAACGGACGACAAATTGCGCCGGCAGGAATTGAAGACTGCGCGTTCTTGGTGAAGGCTGGAGAGATAGGAAAATGAAAATGGCGCGCGTAGACAGATTACCGACTGAGCAGCGGCGAGTACGTGTTGTTATGCATGGGAACCAAATACAAGGCAATGCCGACTGATCGGAATCGAGGAGACGCTAGCTCGGCAAAAATGTGCAGATACTGATAAATGTCCAGCTTATCGCTTCCTGTTTAGCAAATCGATCCCATTTCTCATACATATGATGCACTGGTTAGGAAAAATTTTAATACTGTTATTGGCCGAAAAATATGCGAAGAATTCAAGTTATAGGAAATATCTATAAGATACGATACGACGATGTTAATGATAAACATGAGAAAACAACAAACCCCATCTACAAGCTTTCGAAGTACTAACCTGTATCTTTTCACTTTTATAACGAGTGTAGTACATAAGCAACTTCGGTCTTCAATGTTAGGATAAGTTCAAGGCGACTTACTTGGTGACGTAACGACATTGGAGCTCCTTGGTGAGAGATGGTGTCGATATAACTGGGTTGTTTTTTACGAAAAGAAGTCCAGAAACCAGGATGTCACGTTGCCGTGTTAATCCCAAAAGCTCCGCAGTTACATCCGAGCAACATAACAACTTTAAAGTAACAATCCTTATTCACATCCCGCCATGAGATACTTTCAGACTCCAGCGATTGTCACCAGAGGAATCTTAGCGGTCACACAGATCTAGGATATAACGATGGCCAAAGGTATGGTGTATCTGAAGTCACTTGAAATAGCATAAAAACCTTTGGTCGGCGCGTCCTTTGTAATTTCATGACGTATCATAGGCGTGCGGCATTTATTTAGAACGATAATAATAATGTTTTTATATCACAATAAATGGATTTTACTATCTTCTTATTTTTTTGATTTGGGATAAAAAATACTTATATTGGGAGTTTAATTTATGTTGACTGAAAGTTAAGAAATGGAAAAATTACAGAATTCCAACGTTTGACATAGGCAAATATTTACATAGCAGGTAGGTATATAAAAAGGTATATAAAGACTTACATTATAGGACCAGGACCCACCGGGACCAGGACCAACCAGGACCAGGACCCGCCACGACCAGGACCCACCAGGACCAGGACCCTTCAGGACCAGGACCAGGAACAACATATTGGTAAGAGGACTTGAAACTCTTGATTTTTCGGAAACAAGAGTTTCAAGAGAAACTAGCAGACCCTCTATCGATGATCGCTTAACGACATCGATAGAATGTGCGAGGTAAAGGGAACCAACCCGGCGTTCCCAGAGACTGAAACACATGAGGAGACGTTGTAGCAGACCGCAGGTCACGCACAACACATGGCCTACCGAGACGCTGATGAGTCGGGCCACGCGGAGGTTTAGGGTTTAGTGGGTATTAGGTGATCTCCTCAAGACCCTGGAGCCCCACACACGTCGTAGCTCGTGCTATGGTATGGTGCGTAAATGCATTCCCCCCTTGTTAAAAAAAAAAAAAAAAACATTATAGGTATTTATATATCATCCTCGCCTTCGGAGCTGTCGCTAGAGTCATCTTGTAGAGGAATTACAACGGGATTTACAGGAGGCAAAACACAATATTCATTTTCTTTTTCAATAATATGCCTAGAACACTGCTTCCATAGGTCTGTGGCAGCAATATGAGATACTGCATCTCTTATTGTGGCCAATAGCGATTCACTTAATTGAGGGGTCTGATTATGTTTTCTTACTTTTTTTTTTAAAGCAGCCCAGACCAACTCAATCGGGTTAAAAATGCAGTAATAGGGAGGTAGACGTAATACTTCATGGCCATTTTGCTGAAGCAGATTGTCAACAACATACTCTTTTTAAAATTTTTGTCTTTTAATAAGATCCAATAATATGGCTTTGGTTGATTTTTGTGGTATTTCCAATCCCTTATCCTTCATAAAATCAATAATGTCTTGTTTTTTTGTGCCTGTATTCGGAATTTTGTTTTTCTGTCGGGAATGGTATGGCGCATTGTCCATAATAATCACTGAATTTGGGGAAATGTTTGGTATTAACTGCTGCTCTATCCACTTTTCAAATAAGTCGGAGGTCATGTCCTCATGATAGTCGGCACATGATTCTTTGATATTTTTGGCAGATAACAGCAAGACATTAGGTATAAATCCATTTTCACTGCCAGCATGGAGAATAATGATTCGTTTTACACGGTTGCATGGTGCGTTTAAAATGTACTTGTTGCTGTCGTCAACCCAGCCGTACTGCACAACATCATGGGTATCATAGCACGTTTCATCCAGGTAAATCAGACTTCTTTTCTGCTCTCTATAGATTTTAACTTTGTGCAAAAATTCTTGGCGCAATTCAACGATTCGAGACGACTCCATAATCACCATTCTTTTATCTAATTTTTTGTATTGAAAACCACACAGTTTTACAATACAGTGCAGTGAGTCTAAGCATTTGTTTATTCACCGCTACACGGCACTGGCTAAACTGTTTCAATTTTCAGTAGCCACCTGCACTTTCTCATTGGCTATGTCCACGCATAGGCGTGCTTTACTCCACGTGGACCGGTGAAACTGCCTTTGATCTCTTATACGGGGGATATTTGCTGCGAAATTTGGCGATTTTTGCAGCAACAGAGCGTGTTAAATATAAATATATAAAACGCACCCGGTATTTCACAGTGTTTCAAGTGACGTCAGATAAAGTATACTTGTATCAATATCCAGAGTCTCAGAACAGTCTCTAGGATCTGGAGGTGTCACACCTCTGTAGATGTTTGAGTATAAGTTACGTCTCACATTATCTTAACTGATAAACATATCTCATCTAGTTTTTTTTGAATTACGAGGGATGTCTTTTAAGTTTTGCATATAGAATGACTTTATTGTTTTTCGAAGTATTCTCCACGAAGGCATTTTTGAATGCATCAACTGCTTCTTCTCGTGACTGGAACCTTTGACCACGCAGTCTGTTTTTAATTTTCGGGAAAGTAAAGAAATCGTTCGGACTTAGATCGGGACTATATGGAGGATGGTCCAATAATTCCACGTTTTCTTCCGTTAAATACTGCCTTGTTTTTTGGGCTGTGTGCGAGCTTGCATTGTCTTGGTGGAGGATGATTCTTCTTTCGGGGTTGATTTTTCGAAGCTCGATGATGACTTTTGGCAAACAAATGGTGGTATACCAATCCGCAGTAACACTTCTTTGCTCATTAAGAGGAGTTGTTGCAATATCACCCGCTTTTGACACAAATGTCGCGACCATCTTTTTCGAAACACTTCGAGAACGGATTACTTTTGTTGGCTTTTCTTCACCTTGGAACACCCAAACAGCCGACTGTCGCTTATTTTCTGGTTCATAACAATAAATCCACGATTCATCACCACTAACAATGCTGTAAACATTTTTTGAGTTTCCGGAATTGGAACGTTCAAGCGTTCTTTGATACCAATTAACCCTGGCTGCTTTTTGCTCTTCAGTCAACAGGTGGGGTATCCAACGAGAAACTAATTTGCTTACTCCTAATTTTTCTCGTTCGGCACAGGTCATGAGATCATCGGCAAATGCACAGTCTGACAGGCTAACCATTTCCAGTTTGTAATGACCAATGTTCACTTTTTTGAGTTTGTATTTTATTGTTTTTATGATGTCGTCTACGATAATTATAAAAAGTGTAGGACTTAAAGCGCCTCCCTGTCGTAAGCCGTATCTTATTTTAAAAGGTTTTGATACCATGTTTTCCTTTCTTACATAAATCGTGTTATACGCATTAAGTATTTTAATTCCTCCACTACCTTCAGTGGTATCCTGTCAAATGCCTTTTCCATATCTAGAATGGCCATGTATGCTTCGGTGTTCTTCGTTCTAGTCTTTTCGATCATTTGGTTAATCGTAAATACATGATCCTGTGCGCTTCTACCTTTCCTAAATCCGCACTGTGCTTCCTCCAAATCTGGTTCCACTGTACTTCTTAGTCTTTTCTCTAGGATTCTTTCATAGGCCCTGGCTGCGATACTAAGCAACGTGATTCATCTATAGTTTCCTCACGCTCTATAATCTCCTCTCTTATGTAGCGGTAACACAATTTCCGTCCTGCAATCTTTCGGCATCCTACCCTCATTCCATACTCGATTGAATATCTTTGTCAAGCATTGGATGCAGAAATTGCCTAATCCCTTCAGCATTTCTGCTGTTATGTCGTGGCCAGCTGATTTTCCTTTATTGCTGTTTTTGATAGCTTCAGTTACTTCTTCAATGCTTATTTCGTCTGTGGTGTCATCAAATATTACATCTTCAGTATCTTACCAACATCAGTACCAACATCAAATTGCTATTCAGCAGATTTGTGAAATATTCATTCCATCGTTCCATAATTTGGGTATCTTCTGTAACTATCCTATTATTCGTGGCCACTTAATGCCCTTTATTTGGGGTACTACCGTATCCGCCACAGCAAGCATGACGTTGATACGCATACTGGCGCTAGACTATTTAAGAGGATCCCAGATGATCCTAGGAGACCTCGTGTAACCCAGGTAGGTTCGAGATAATCTATGTTCTCCGCTATTTGCATAGAGTTATAAATTTTAATGATTTCTCAGTAAGTCCAGAAATTTTTTTTGCATCTGCTCTAAAAATATTCTGACTCGGTTTTCATGCATAATCTTAAAAAAACAAATCATACTATTTTTCGACCAAATGCCACGATACTTCCTGGACTAAACAATTCTGTAGGATTTTATCAAGTAAGGGTCGAACGGGAGCGGATTAATTTTGTTCAAAAAAAAAGTAATTTGTTTCTCACATGTGAACGTCATTCATAGGGAGCGGAGGAGGCGAAATATTGAGAAACATATTTTATTATCAATCGCCCATGGAAAACATTCCCACGAATTTGACTAACTAACCCTATGCTGGGACTGGATCAACGAACTTCACAGATATGTGTATGCAAAAAGATCAACGCTTAATCCACGAACGTCAATCAACTCAAAGTAACTGTACTGCCTTTTACATCAGTATTTCAGACCTTTTGAACTCCATACATTTATGCTGTGTTTCAGCACAGCCAAACAAAAAAGCTTGGAACGGAAAAATACCGGTACAAATAAATAATGTAAGCCAGTGTAAGAGCACGCGAAACTGACACGCGATGTTCATCTCTATTACGACAGAACGTGGGTTCAAGAAGTCGGCCATGGCAGACAGACAAGTTTCAGTTGTTTTGCCACAGCCCACCCACATGAGTCGGTACACCTGTACCTGTCCATTGACTCTTGTTTCGTATACACCTAGGCTACCAAAATGGAATGCTGTTTACCCATTAATGTACTCGCCGGGGATTTGATTCAATGTTGACAAAGTCTTTCTGAGTCTATTTTATGCCAAAAGGCTTCCTAGGCTTGCCAAACGGAGTTGTCAGGCGTCTGCTTCTGATTTACTCGTTTGTATGCCTGCAGGTACAATCTTCGCGGCAACTTCAGCACGAATTACATGTTTATTTCCGTTTATGCTTATGCATTACGGATTTTTGGAATGTGACGGATGCTTCTTACAAGTTGTTATTTTCCTTGAAGTATGTATGTTAGTGTAGGACAAATCTTGAAATTGAACTTTGGAGCAGTCAACATTTACCAATTGGTCTGACATTTCAGATACACGCTTGGTTTTTATCACAATACACATTAGATTAAGTACCGCCATTTTGAATACTATATAATGGCATTTATCAAATGGACGGGCTTAATGAGAGAATTCGAATATGAAGGCCATCACAAAATGGCGATTTATAATATCCGGTCGCCCCAATTATATGAATGTGAAATGAAAATGCTTGGGGAGAGAATCAGAACACAAAGTGACGTCATTCAATATGACAGCCACCAGAAAATGACGATTTGTCAACTCCATAGTATCTCCTATGATATGCGTTGTTACAAGTTCAAAATTTATTACCGCCAATACAGCCATAACTTGTACTTATTTTGTGCAAGTCATATTATTTTTTTTTTGTGTAAACAGAAACGTTTCTCAGAAAAGAAAGGTTTGAACTGTTACCTGCGTCTGTTATCTCAAGCCAAAACAGAGACAACTAATATCTAACAGATCTGCTGTTATAAATGAACTCCTTTAGAAAACCACTAATTTGAGAATGTCTTATGTACCTGCAACTCTGTTCTTATGATTCCCATCTAGGTTTAAGAAGTTGTAGCTAGAAATAATATGCTGTATAACCTTTCCAGTGGTTTTACTGATTTAATTATTGACATTGTATGGTGCATTCTGCATTATGCATTCAGTGTATACAGTATTCTCTGGATTAGACCTGGTGAACCTGCCCTAGTGAACTGAAACAAATAAGGAGCAGATACTTAACTCACTATTGTAATGAAATTACTTGTTTCTTTTGATAAATCAGTGCCCCTAAAGCAAAACTAGTCATTGTTTATAATTTTATAACCCATGTAGCAATGAATTTTGTAGACAGGTGTCAAGTCAGCTGTCACTGTCAAAGGTGAAAATCATAAATCAAATCCAAGAGAATAACCAAAATTTCTGTGTTATGTGCCGCGGTTATAATATGGTTCAAGATGACACACGGGTTGAAGATGTCAGTTACACGAATCGCTTGAACGCGTTGGTTTTAACCGCGGTTTTGTTGCAAGTTGTTTATTTTAGAAAAGCACGTATATAATCTCTGATTATTTTTATTATCATTCAATAATCGGTGCTTTTTCGTCTACAACTGTATATGGAAAGTTTAAATAAGAAACCTTTCACAATATTCATGGGAGAAATGTTTTTTTCAGATTTTTTTTTTAATGATGGAACCATGGCTTTGTAGCTATGATAACTTTCAATTCTCTAAATTTTTCCGCATGTCAAAGAAAACATTTATTGATTCAGCAGAAATGATGAAAAAAGAAATTAGCAAAACCGTATACAGGTGGATATCATCTAGTGAGTTTATATGGCCATATTTTAATATTCTTGTGGTATATGGCTACACAGGATACTTTGTTAAGCATAGGAACTACATTTAAAGTGTCCCCAACAACCGCAATGAGTAACTAATAAGGTGCTCGACTTTATGGTAAAACTGAAGTCAGCCTGTATCAATTTCAATATCCAATACCCGCCAAAATTCTAACTTGTCACATTTCAAATAATAACCAGAAATATAAAACTACTCTTGAATTGGGTAAATACAACAATTTTGCGGTGATAACTATGACATCTAACAGCTGATTCGTGACGTCACGGATCTTATAACCAAACTGATAACTACACTCGCTTGAACGGATCGGTAAATACCAACCCAAAATGGTAAATACCATTTCCATTTGGTTATCCGCTTGAATTTGATTATTGCAGGCCGACTGGCGTGGAAATGTCAGACGCGAGACGAGCGCAACAAGTAAGGAAAAAAAGATCACCATTGCAAGTATTCGGATTCGAACAGAGCGTCTGTTTCGCAAGTGCGGATTTAGTTCCGAAAAATAGCTGGAAAAAAAGGAAAATCTTCACAATTTCAATTGCTGTAGGCGTTCACACTACTACTATTGTGAGATCTCTAAGATTGGAAGATTTCCCTCCACTTTAAAGGCCACCCTACACCCTAGGTAGGTAGCTTACAGTTTTATTGCTGCCTATGGCTTATGCGATTGTAGTGACTGATTAATTGCTTTGTAGTGCATGTAGCTTATGCTTGACTTTTGTCCACAGGCCTTCTCTCTTGTTCTTTTCTCTTTTTCTCTGCTTCTTCTTCCCTTCAACGTCTTCTACTTCCTGTACGTTTTCTACTGCATTCTTCGTACATAACTGAGACCAGGATTTGACCAGAGCTACATGCTACATTGAACCTAGCATTGCTTGAAACCTTAACGTTGTACTGCTTTGGCTGGCTTTCAGCTACATTCCTACACCTTACCATATGAGGACTGGTTAACACCACCAAGGGACCTCCAACAGGTTATTACAGAGATTACAGGTCAGACTAGTCTGTAAGGTTTATGTAAGACTTCAGGTTTCTTGGACAACTGAAATACAGAGTACCAGATTTGTTCGCTGTAAGATTATCCACTAGTTAAGATCACTTTGTACACGCTTCACATCTCAGTGCGCATACTTACCTAGACATATCTGGGGGCCCCCCTTCTTTCGTAAAAGGTCACTTTGCCCAGTAGATTGTATAATATTAGACATAGTATATCTGAATGCAAGTGTAGATACGACTTCTTGTAGTCCTAGGAGGTAACATAACATATAAGGTAACCGACCTCTCTTTTCGTGGGATTCTTTTACAAAGAATACGGCATTGTCTTTTCAGGAAATATATATCGTTTCAATCCGAGCTTTGTAATTTCTTTCATTGTTTACAATTTCTACAGACAATTCGACAGGTTGACAATTTGACACCGTGGGACCACGGAACCCCATATAGAACTGGACTCCCTGACGTCAGTACCTGGGAGTAGTCACGGCGATTGTGGAGTAGTAATACTCTTTTACAGTACAGATATAGATATTCGTAAATCGTAAACTAGGGTGACGGCTGATCACCGTCTATCGTAGTCTCCGTCCCCAACGATCGTAGCAGCGTATCTAATGAAAAGGCTTGATAAGTGCGTCAGAATTAGTAAAACGACGGCAGTCTACCGATACAGTTTCATTTTGAGATGGAACTGGTCAGATGATGGAGCAGATAGGTAGCCATGAACAAGCATACTTATAAGTACTTCTATCATATCTACGCAGTACATGATTCATATCGATGGATGTCACACAATAAAAATAAAATGAAGATTATTATGAAGTATCGCTAACAAAATATATGAAAATTAGATATAAGATACTAATCTAGATACTAAAAAGTAGAAAATGAATGGGGGATAGTACTTTTAAAAACCAGCATTTATTTTAGCTGAATGGAAATATGTCGTTTTATACCTTTTATCATGTAAACAATAATGAAGCTCCTTCGTCTAAGTTTTTGAATAACTGCGTGTTACATTTCAACAGCAAGAGAGAATAACACTCCTAGTTGAAAACTCGTGACGTAAACGCTTTGTTATCGTTTAAGTATAACATGGCAGGCTTTCAATCTGAAAAATTGTTTTCAAATTTTTAGTTCACACGTAACTCATAGATTGTTTTTAAAAATGCTTTCATGCATTTTGACTCTCGATGGTGACTACATTAATGAAAATCTTAAGTTATTCATCGAACTTTCTGTTAGAGCGTACTCGCAATGGTCGCAACGCTATTCACGTATTCTGCCTACCTACCAGATAGAACGTTAATCGATGCTTGGGATCCAGATTCTCCGAATCAGTGTGGCTGCTTCCCGTATATTTTTAGAAGTGTGAAGGAGAATGTAGACTTATCAAACTTATGTTCTGAGAAAAATATTTCCAAAGAAGCTGTTATAATATTATTACCTTCAATGATAGAAGAATCCTTTTCACGAAGCCTAAAAAATATATGACTAAATTAACTTCAGATGAAGGCTATACGACTTTATCAGCACTATTTTCACCAATGGTCAACAGGTCAGCACATTCATTTTGTTGGATACTTTACCACTCCCTCTTCTTCGGACAAATCCAGAAAAAATTAAAACAAAACAATGTTGGTTCATAAGAGGAAAGCACTAAATATCAGCTTCGACTTTTACATTGTTAAAAACGGAAGAAAAAACAATGCGTTTGCAGCGGGTCTGATGTTATCTCCGCTTGGAACCATATAAAATTCCACCAGACGAATTGTTGGGCCATCAATTTTCGGCTATCTCAGTGGCGCGCATAACATTATGCTCAAGCATAAGAAGCATAAACAGCTTTAAAATGGAATAAACTTTCGCTAAGCAACCAGTTATTGTTTGGTTGAAATTGTCTTCTAATAGAATATCGTAATTAGAGACAGACTACTTTGAAAAGCCCTACAGACTTTTCAGGCTACAAATATGTTCTTCGTGAAGATATAACCATGTTTTCTTGGGGTTATATCGTCAGTCGTTCCTACAATAATTGGCCTCCTTGATTTTCATAGTCTTTTCTCTCCTTCAGAAAGGCCGGGGTATTTCTAGATTTCTATAGTTCCATGTCAGCATCATCGCTCTCCTATTGTGAGGCTACGTTTTCTGTTTGAATTGTAGGAAATTTCAGGCTGACATAACATATAATATAAATCAAAAGGATGAAAAATTTGATGCAAATAGATATCTGTAACATAACCTTAAAATAGAGCGCTGACATCGAGCAATAGAAAATTATGAAAATCATAGAGGCCATAAAAGCTTCCTACGATTGTAGGAACGACACACGATACGACCCTTAGAGATTTCAGGGTAACTAATTTCCAAGCTGATCATCGCATTCCATTAGTTATCGACCGAAGTTGTTCGGACGAAATCACTTCATTACCAATCAACCCCAAGAGTTAATAGTTACTCTCCTAACAAGTTCGAAAAGTGGTACTTTTCTGCACGCGACTACTGCAGTCGTGTGCAGTAAAGGCACATTCCGCAACAATTAGGAACAACACTTTTTCTACCTGCGAGTAACCAGAACAATATATTGTATCAATTAAAATCATATGTTTTAATAACAGAAAACGAAACACAACTAAATTTTAGTATTAATGTTAATTTGCTGAAATTTTTATGATTTATCGCGGACGACAAAATCCTGAGTTGGCTGGTAGTGAACTGAACTATGATTCCCGTAGGGGTACGAGTATTATGTAAAAAAACCTAAAAAACGCAAAAACGACGAAAACGTATAAGATGTCATCTTGCAGACTATGTAGCTTTTAGGGCGCCACGCTTACTCAGTAGGATCGTTGTGAACGTCCATCTATGGAGGCATCACTCAACTAAACTACACGCATTGTTGGTTGCATATATTTTGTGAAGCCGAGTGGTCCGTAGTTTTTATCTCTGATAAGAAAGTTGGTTGGATAGCAAGATCGCATCTGTATTATTATGTATATTAGTCTGTATGTATATAAAATCAGTGATATTTGCTGTGTGAGAAAATCATCACTGAATATGCTGCCAATGAAGTATATCTATTAGTTGTGCCCGACGGGTTATTTATATGTTGTCCTTTCTGAAGACAGGTTATGTTCAAAGTTATAAATCACGAAAAACTTTGAGGAGAATTACGGGAAATCATCACCGCAGCCGCGTTGTGTGTAACTACTGTTAGCATGTACGAGTAGATGACTTGTAACTCGACAGTGTACAGTGAATATAATTATTTCGTATCTCTCTTATCTTTTAAATATATCAAATTTGCATAAGTAATTTCCAGAATGGATAAAAAAAGTGGAGGGGCAACTAATTTCTAGGTTTGAGTTACAAGTAAGTGTAGTTGAGACAAGAATCCAATGGAATTATCATCAATACATACAACTTACAGCTTAGACCTCCACTAGTGCCATCTCTGAAGAAGATTTTACATCACATCAGGGCCAGACATTGATACACTGAAACCTCATGATGTTTGGGCAACACGTACAGCTACAAAACGAGTTCACAATGTGTCTATCAGTTAGTGATGAGTTAACATTTTGTAGACAAAACTACATAATGTCACAAAAATCCAATACAATATCAAAAAAAAAACGGCATAATGACACTTATACGAGTACAATGGGCTCTGGCTAATGTGACGTAATGTCCTAGTGTCAAAAAAAATATACGTAATACCCGTGCCGGTGATATTTTTGCTTCTCTGCGCGCCCTGCGAAAAGTAACTTTGCTTGTGGAAAAGTGACACTTTCAAAACTGAAACGCATGTGGAAAGTGACACTTTCATCACGCTGGTAGAAAAAAGAATGTTTTTCCAGCTGTATGATGCATGTGAAGCCTATAAACGGTCAGTCACAAAAAAGGTAAGCTTATTTAGTAAGGCAAATAAATCTTGAGCGAGGTAATAGAAGAAGACCAGACTTCTGAATTTCAACTCCTTAACTGCGTTGTAGAGACTATAGTCAAACTAGATCAGTGAATCTGTATACTTTGCTGTAGTTGACATTGGCAGTATCGATATACCTGTAAGGTGAATACTACACAATCAGTATTTACTGTTGTCTCTACCATCAGTGTTTACTGCTGATTCCGTTGGTGTCAGTGGATTTCTACGTAACCTTATGCATCACTAAATACTGACGTCCTAGCTAGGCGGTCAATAAATAGCACTTTCCATGACAAACATTGACGGGCTACAGTCAACACTGATCGTACAGCATTAGTATAACCTCCAGGATGAAGAGCTCTATGAACAGGTTGTCCCAGAATAACATGTCAAACTCTCGTATGCATACAAGGCCGAAGTTCGTATAAAAAATGCCATGAAGAGCTAATCTGCGGAAGCCCCCTTAAAGACTATGGTTACTGAAAATTAGTTTTTCTCAGCTTACTAATTAGTTGGGGTACCTAACGTGATTGTGTGTGTCCATGGAAAACAAAATTTTTTACAGCGTTTATCATATTTAGCTGAACGATATCACCTCTGGAAAGCCTGAACTTTGAGCTGGAAAAATGTGCCATCGGTTAAATGCACCCTTTTTCCGTACATTTCTCTCAATTTTGGCACTGAATCCAGATGTAGGTTACGTCGTTCGGGAAGTATAGTAAATCTGATAACAGATTCGTAATAACAGACCCGAAGAACCTCAGACATACAGTTTCAGATCACGTGATTAAAATTTTAAGTTCCGTTTTTTTTTTTATTTTTGAGGCGGCTGCAGTGTAAATCGACAGGAACAGGACTACAACGAGACTGACTTTCTCACAAACAGCTCTTTTTATCGAAACCCAACAAGGATGCCTTTTGTTCACCTAGAGGATAAGAATTGCAAGTAAATAATATATTTGCAAAAGATGGCAATTGTTTCCCACTGATACCATCAGGAAAGACATCAACTGGTTACT